CAATCTGGTCCGCTGACGGCTCGTTGCTCGCCGGGCCGGATGTTGCGATGGGAGCGTCGATGTCTGGATCATCCATGTGCTCGAAGAGCCAGCCCGCGGCCAGGTCGGCGCTCGAGTTGCCCGTCGCGAGGAGGGCTTTCTGACACCGCACAGTGGGGAAACCCATCGCCTCGAGCTGCGACAGGGCCTCGACATTGAATTCGGGCTGAGTGGAAGCTACACCAGTGAGCGAGCATCATGGGATCGTGAGTGCTTCTCGTCCTCACCTGACGAAGACTCCACGTCCAACTCCTCTTCTCCCGGCTGCCGCCCCTTCCCGAGGTACGCGTCGAGGCTGAGTGTGTCTGGAACTTGGACGGGAATATCTGGGAGCGGTGAGCGAAAGCTGCAGCAAGGAAGCCGTGTCCGGCTCGAGGTCTGAGCAGTTCCACCCACCAAGTTTCGTCGGCAACCAATTGACAAGCTGGAACTTCTTCATATGAAGCACCAGCAGGTCTGGGAACGTCTTGAAGCTCGTCGACCTGTGCCCGTGTCAGAAGCACATCCGCCAAGTCACCCTCCCTACTCACTTTTCGGCCTTGACCTTTCTCCCGCAGTTTGAGCACGAGTAATCTGCCAACTCCTCCTTCGCACAGAGCGCGTCGATGCACCCTTCCAGCCGCTGCTCCTGGTACAGCTTCTTCCCATCCTCATTCACGCCCCGCTCGATTGCTTCGACTGGAAGACTCGCCAAGTCGACGGCGTCGACCTTATACCCGACCCTCTTGCACTCGGTGCACTGCAGCCTCTGCTCCATTCCGAAACGGACAATCTCGGTCGCCTCGGACTTCTCATCCCGACCCTGCCTCTTGGCTTCGGCCCTCAACTTGGTGAGGAGATGCTGCAGGAACTCCTCCGAGTCCTGTTGTCGCATCGTCGAAAACTCCTCGTGGCCCTTGCCGATGAGCGCCTTGAACTGACTCGGGCGGATGCCCTCTTGGAACTTTGGCGACTCCGGGGCATCAAAGTCGGAATGAGAAGGCGGAGGCACTCGTGCGATGTGGGAGTATCGTCCAGAGATGAGGCCGTCGGCAACCTTGAGCATCTGACATTCAAGGCATGAAGCAGGCAGAGGGTTCTCGCAGGTCTGGAAGTGGGACAGGGCGGTTTCAGTGTAGTACCGTTGTCGGAAGGCGGGAAGGGCGAAGAGAGCCTGAAGCACAGATGCCATGTAACAGCTGAACGTGTAAGTGGAACGTCATTTCGAAACTCGCCGCCTCACCTATTTCCGAGGTTCTTGAAACCCGTCAAGCCGCGACCAAACACCGGCTCGAGCTCTCGACCGTCATCACCCGTCATGGAAAAGTCAAACTTGAGGTTGTGCTCGAGTTGCTGGAGACGATCAGTGCTTTCCACACTTGCACTTGAAGACTTGCGCTTACCAGCTCGGTCATGGATTTCTCCGTCTTTGTCTGTCCCATCACCTCGATACCGAAAGTGTGGAGGTGGTTTGCCAGCTCGGGGTCAACCTTGGCATCGTCGCACGCGTAGCAGTAGATATCTGCGACGTCAGCGACACTGAGAGACTATCCTGGTCTGGTACCCACCGCCTGTGCCCTCCGGGGTGATCGTGCCGAGCTTGACACCGACGGGATGGCCCGTCTCCTGCCAGTGCTGCAGAGCGTGCCCGTTGCCTCCCACTCCACCAAACTGCTGCCTCCCACAATTCGCAAAACCACACGTCAAACACAACCACAGGTTTGAATTGAGGTCGCACTCGGTACACTGGGTAGGGACTGCGTGCGTCAGTCTCGCCTTTTAGCCGCGTGAAGCAGGTAAAGCACTCACGGTCGCCCGCGTTGATCAGCGGTTCCTGATGGAGGGTGAGAGTGTGCTCGCAGGCGAGGATCTCCTCTTCCCATGCCTTGACCTCGGACTGCTGAGCGGAGGAAAGCGCAGTCATGATGCCCTTGACCACGGCGTCGATCTGATATGTCAGTCCCCAGTCAGAATTCCACTCATGGCGATGTGATCGTGATCGTGATCGTGATCATGCCCACCTTGGGATCGTCCGAATGCACTGCCTCCCCCACGCTGGAGCAGCCAAAACACCGAACAGATGTCGAGTAGGAATACAGCTCATCATCCGTCGGAGCGGTGATCGCGAGCTTCTTCATTGGCGGCTCGTGCGAGTCCTGCGTTGTTCAGCTGGTCCGCTCTGTCACCACCAGGGATCTGCATCCCAGTGATGCTTAACGAATGAGCTGACCCACCCGCTTCTTCGGCTCCTTCCTTGCACGCTTGATAACCACTCCGAGGGGATGTTTCGTCTTCTCATGATGCAAGAACGCGTGCCGCCGTCCTTCGGCGGAACAGCCCCCGTTGAAGCACGTCAGGCAGACCAACACGCCCTCGGGGTCGTCCTGCTACTCAGCACGACCCGTCCAACAATTTCAGAAGCGGGCCACTCACCTGACCGTCGAAGCAGAGTGTGCACTCCTCACTGAACTGTCAGCGTGGGATCAAGAACCTGTGTGAGAAGGGCGCGGGGCGTGTCGCCACCGCTTGACGTCGAAGCCTCGCCGAGAACTGGGATGAGGGATGCGTATGGCAAACGCTAGCTCACCGGTGGACCTGCTGATGCGGCGACGGTGGCTTGAGCTCCGCCGCGATCGCCTCGACGTGTTTGCAGCTCATTATTGCTAGACCGAGGCGGAAAGAGAACAAGGAAGGGAGGAGAGAGAGAGTTGCAGAGTTGACACGCACAACGACGCTGGAAGAGTTCGTGTGTGTGTGGGAGTGACGCTTACGTACGGGGACCCCGCACAGACCGCCTCAATCCAACTCGCACTCGCTCGTCGCTCTCGGCGGTGCCGGCGTTATCGCCACCTTCTCATCCCTCGTTCTCACTGAATCTCTCTCATTTGACACATACCAGGCCCCGTTCACCTAGCGACCTAGCCCGCCGCGCGAACAGAAGGAGAGGGACACCGAGATCACCCGGAATCCTCGCAGAGTGGACAATTAACATGAATCAGCCACCGCAGCACTCGAATGGTGGGTTGCTCTGTTTGGTAACGATCTTTTCACGCTCGAGCGGCACGAGCGGGAGGGGCGCCCTCCGAGCCACTCGCTGAGCTTTGTACAGATTACTACTCCCCGGGACATCAACAACATCCTCAAAGCCCGCCACGTAAGTCCAATTCTCCTGCCTTGATGTCGAGATCCCGCTTGACTCGTATCCCGGCTCACGTCCAATAGATGTCGATGTCACCCACTCTCCATTCGCCCGCTCCGACTCTTCCCAGCGCATGACCTTCTCCGACATGGCCCGCATCGCCGGCAGACCACAGACTGTGAGCTAAGTCATCTCGGATTCTGCGCCGATGCAACTCAGCGTAGTGGTCCGGGAACAGAGCTGACCCAACCCAGTTTGAGGAAATGTATGCCGTCCCCGAGAGCTTCTTGGAGATTGAGATCCGTAATCCAATGACTCACGGTGAGTGACGTCGGGGTCACGCGAAGGACTGGACAGTTACTGACGACTCGCCCAGGCGTGGGGAGGAAGATGTATACCGACTATGAAATTGTCTGCATGGTGCGTGTTTCTCCGGGTCGGGTCGTCACATAAAGCCTGATCATACTACGACCCGCGGGTCACGCTTACCCCGGCCAGACCAACATCCCCGCATTCAAGCTCCGGCACTCGGTCGTCCGCAGACGATACTCTGATTTCGAAGCGTTCCGAGATGTCCTCGAGCGGGAGAGCACACGAGTGAACATTCCTCCCCTACCCGGGAAGGTGAGCGGCGTCGGCGAGCTGTTACCTCTCTTCCATTCCGCCTCATGTCTTCTCGTCTCAGTTTCCTCGCTCCTCTCTCCTCTTCCATGACCTCATCACCTCATCCCCTCATCCCCTCTTCCGTCTCCCGTCTTTGGCCTCCTCTCTTCGGCCCCTGTCAATCCAGATATTTCGTGTTACGATGTTCGGTCAACCCTCCCGAACACGACCCACTCACGCCTCGCTCAGGTCTTCACCAACCGGTTCACCGACGAGGTCATCGAGCAGCGTCGCGACGGTCTTCAGCGATTCCTCGAGATTGTGGCGGGCCACCCATTGCTCCAAACGGGGAGCAAAGTGCTCTGCGCGTTTCTCCAAGGTGAGTCAGGTCGATAGCGGGAATCGTGAATTGTGAATCGTGAATCGTGGATCGTCGGGGTGTACTTCGGGAGCCCAGCTGCCCTTCATGTCCTCTTGTCTCGGACTCGGAGCTGCCGCGGTTGGTGCTAATGGGTTTAGATCCGGCTTGGGACAAGGCCCAGTGGATGTGATCCCACCCGAAGGTGCATTGTCGATCATCGTCATCTGGAAGCTCTGTGTGGAGGTCTGGGTAATTGGGATGCGCCCGGCATGCAGAGTTGGACGGGGTTGCTGGACCGACGAAGGCGCTCGTCGCGACGTGAGACGGACACAAGGATGGGCAACGGGAATATGACCGCGATGTAAGGGGTGTTGGGCGAGCTTCTTGCGGGCGGAGGTGTCGTGGACCCAGGGACGCTTCATGATGTGTTTCGGATGCATGGGCGAGTTTCCAGGTGATAAGTGTTCCAAGTACAGGTGTACAGGTGTTACATGTGTGACATGTGTTGCGGGTGCTCCAGGTGTCCCCGCCCAGGTTCGGGATGATTCATGGACAGTAACAGGAGAGGAGTGGGAGTAGGGAGCTCCCCGATGTATTGGGCAAGTGAGGATGACTGACTTGGCGCTGTGTCCCATGGTGAGTGCGGTGCAGGCCGGGTTACACGGGCAGGATTCACCTTGTCCTACCTTAGTGACACCCTCTCTGCACCTCAGAATGCTTCCAGCGATCATGGACAATTTGTCTGTGAGCCGAACCCTCCCATCGCCGTGATGCATTACCCCCGACGCGGGCTTCCCGCATTGTCGCCCTCCCAAAACCCCTAAATACTGTGCATGATGTACGGAGCAGGAAAAAAAGACTGCATGGGAAAAAAGGAAATACACCGTAAGGGAGTCGAACCCTTGCCGCGTCGATGGCAACGACGCATGATACCGTTTCACCAACGGTGTTACACGAAAGCGGTCCGGTATTTGAATCTATATTCAGCATATTCAGCACAACATTCAGCAAAACACCCACACATCGCAGCACCCGCCCCCGCGTTTCAAGTTGAACCAAATGTGAATTATAGCCGTACCTGACGCGCGGACGCAGCAGGAGGCTCACGGGTCTCAGGAAATTGTTGACACGATCCAAGCACCATTTGGACACCTTGTAACACTCCTGCCCGCCATCTACTCCGTACCCCTCTCTTCCTTCGAGACGAGCCCAACACCCCAACCATACCCGGGTGTACCTCGTCTACGGCACCCGGAGCGGAGACCAGTCTAGAGCAGACCAGTCCAGCTCGCCGTTCGCCGTTCGCCCCCTCCCCCTCCCCGTGTCACCCTCGCGCGCCTAGCTCAGGGCGGCGTCAAACCTATCGCTGCGTTCACCTCGTCGCATTGTTTCGTTTCGTTTCGTTTCATCTCGCCGTGCTACATCCTGCGTTCGTTCCATCGTCGTTCTCCACGCCTCGACATTTGCCCATAGCCGACACTGACGGCCTGACGCGCTGGTTTTGTATTCACTCGTTGGATTCATAGACGGTACGACACCCGACACGCGACTTGACGACACCGACGACATCGACGACATCGACAACGCCGGGGACCTCGACGAAATCGGCTGTCTCGACGACCTCGAAGACCTCGAAGACATCGACGGGGGACTGCCACGGCGATCCGGACGGCGTTGAATCGCGATCCCGAACGACGCCCTCGCTGCTCAAGCCGCAGCCTTCGAGCCGGACTCGACCCAAACCCCCCATCACCAATCATGCGCCTCCCCGTGTTGATACCCACGTTGCTCCTCCTCCCGCTCTCTCTCGGCTTCTCATTTACCCTCAACTCGACAGCCGTGTCGCAATGCGGGATCACCTCGGTGCATTGGTCGGGCGGTACCCCTCCGTTCTACCTGACCGTGATTGTGGGTCTGCGCTCCACTCGTCTCTACCTCCTCCTACGTCGTCGCTTCTGCCTTGTCTCGCGTCTTCGTCTCGCGTCTTCGTCTCGCGTCTTCGTCTCGCGCCGCTTTTGCGCCCTTGTCTCGCGTCCCCATTTTGCTGCGACTACTGTGGTCCAACAGGAGCTGTGGTCTTGGAGGACCTGTGGCCCTAGACGAGTCCGGCTGACTTGCATGTAGCCCGCATTTGACTATCCCCAAAACATATCTATCCCCACCTCGGCATGGGACGCGGGATCATCGACGGGAGAGTATCAATGGACCGTGAATTGTACGTAGATCTCTGCTCGTATCAGGCGCGGCGCAGCGACGAGCGGAACATGTAAACTGCGACTTCGGCTGACCCGGCAGACCCGGGCGGAACACGCTTCGCAGCGATGATGTCGGATGCGACCGGTCCGGGCGTGAGTGAAACGATCCCAGATCAGAAGTTTCAGAAGTCGCGGAAGCCACAGACATGGCGGTGCGGAGAGATGACTTTGACTGTGACTGACGATACAGACCGGAGGGGTATCGACGCTCTACACAGTCACCGGCTCGAGCGCCTCGTGTACAATGCGATCCACTTCGACGGACTTTTTGTGAGCTCTGTCCTGTCCCGGGTGGTGTACGCGGAGACTGATGAGGCAGGTTCTACCTCAACGCGACGACAGTGACGGTGAGTGCGATACGGCTTCTCGAGCTTCTTGGGTCTGGCGGGGCCCTTACGTAGATCGCGTCCCATCCTTCATATCGCACTCCATCGCCGGACCCCCCCCCCCCTCCCCCCGTGGAGCAACCCCCGTCAACCTCAGCCATTTCGCTGACCTTCCCCTCAGCAATGCTCCAACTTCGAGATCTACTGGGACAACACTGCCACCGACCCAGTCACGATTCTCGGCGTCATCCCCGGCGGCCAGCCCTTCCAAATCACCTCTTCGTCCGGCTCCGACTCGCTCGTGTGGAACACCAACATCGCGTCGGGCACGCAGTTCATCCTCGCGGCTTTTGATTCCGGGAAGAATGGTCAGGGCGGTTCGAGCGATCTCATGACGGTCGGCAAATCTGCCAATTCGGCGTGTCTGGACGACTCGAGTCCTAGTTCCACGCCGGTCAATGTGCCGAGTCAGACGGCAACTGCGACGAAGACGGGTGGAGGGGCGGTCAAGACGGTTACGGCTATTGCGACGGTTGCACCGTCTGGCGGAGGGTGAGTGGGCAGGCGGGACGGCACGACCCGACCTGAACCGAATCCTTGAGCTGTGATAAGTAAGGGTTGGACCAAGGCTGATGTGATGTCCTGATCAGACTCAAAACCGGCGCGATCGTCGGAATCGTCGTTGGCGTCGTCGTCACCGTATTGATACTCCAGGCGGCGCTCGTTTGGTTCTGCTGCCGCCGGCAGCTCGCCTCCCTCATATCCCACCGCAAGCAGATCCGGGCGCAGGGTCTCAAACCCGGCGGCGAGGTCGATCTATTCTCCCAAGGACGGTCATCCGTCATCCTCGAGGACGATCCGAGTGCGGCGGATCTGATGTCCGCGTCCAATCGGGGTCCTCGATCACGCGCATCGCGCGCGTCGATGGGGTTCGGCCGCACTGGGACCGGAACCGCGCGATCCAGATCGAGTGTGGGCGACGCGTACGCATACGACGAAACTTCCATCTCGCCGTTCTGGGACGGGGCGATGGTACCCCCGGAGTCGCACTTGACGTCGACTTCGGACGGAGGGACGTTATTACCACCGCTTTCATCCCTCGGCTCGCCTTTTGGTTCGGACACCGATCTCCTCCCGCCGTCACGTCCCCACATTCGGACCGACTCGCTCTCGTCGACATCATCAAGACCTGTCTCGATGCACGAGCTCGCCTACCTCTCCCCGACCTCCCCTTCCTCCGCATCGGCACTGACATCCACATCCCGCTCCAGACCCCCTCCACAGGTCACAAAGGCCCAGATGGCCGCTGCGCTAGCGGCGGCGAACCCCGACGAGCCAAGTCCAAGATCCGGATTCGGTCCGTCCAGGGATCATCGAGGGGAAGAGTTGCAAGGGTACGGAAGTCGACAGCCTCCAATGGACGCTCCAACCGGAGGTTTCAGGCTGCACGAAGACGCAGGCAGGGTCGACGACGTCGAGGATCTCCCGCCGATGTATCGTCCAGAGTGGGAGACGCGGTCGGAGCGGGAACGAGCGGAAGACGCAACGGCAACGGCAATGGCACCGGCAACGGCAACTGGGCCCGGACGAGGAGCCGGACAAGGTGAAAGTGAAGGTGAAGGGCAGAGAGACGCGCTTGATCACTAGACGAAGATGGGTTACGATAGGGTACGATAATGATGGTCGATCGGCCGGGACGATTGCGGGACAATTGACTTTCGCGACGCGAGCATGTACTGGACCATGTTATACTGTATGACTTTGATGCCATGACGCGTCGCATCGTAGCGGGACGACTACTCTGACTACACGGCATACGGAGCATACTGGCCACCCAGTACGTAACAGCGGGACCGAGAAGGCAGCATGACACTCGACAATCGACACTCGACACTAGAATATCGACACGTCAAGAGGCTTAGGCTCCTTTAGTGTCGGAGTGGAAGCCGACCGTCTCCACGCGGAGTTGCCGCGAAAGGACGATGTCCTTTGAATCCAGTAAAGAAATCATTTGCTCGCTCCGATGCCGTGTGACACGCACGCTGGGTACTTGCCAAACTGTCCGCATGAGCGAACCTTGACTGGCGCTGCAATGGTTCGCGGCTGCGAACATTGACTGGCGCTATGGCGTCCATGACCAGCTCGGATGCTCTGAGACGTCAGCACGCTCACCGCAGTCAATCGATCAAGAATGAATATCGAACCCACCCTGGCCAACGCGCCGAAGCGCGTCCCAAGCCCAATGACTGGTCCACCGACAGATCCCTCATAACCCCCTCCCCCTCCTTAGAACCGCAGCCGCCTCGTATCCACGCCTTTCATCGGCCCTTCGATCCCCTGCACCACCCCTCCCTCTCCCGCCGCATCACTGCCCTGAAGACCTCCCTCCGCCGGGTCCTGGTTTGGCGCAGCGACAAGTCGGGGTCTCGCGCCAAGAGACGCGCAGAGGAGCTTGTACCGACCCCGTATCGAGCCTAGGAGGGATGGTAGATCGGGTTCCGGTTCCGCGGCAGCGGGTGCATCCACACCCGCACCATTGGGCCGGGTGGGCGGGACGTGGACATCGGCGTCTGACAGCCCCGAGACAGCATATGTACGGGCGGAAAGCGAGTCGCCCCCGTCCCCGCTTGGAGATCCGCTGGCTTGAGGGGCGGAGGGAGTTGGAGTCAGGATCAGAGTCGGGGATGGAGTCGGGTTGGTGGTTGGGAAAGTGGAAATCAGCGCGAGGAGTTGTTTGGCGTGTGACAGTGCTCTACGATCGATCGGATCAGCAACCTTCCCTTATCCCTGGAGCTCAAGCAATACGGGACCCCGTGATCAGAGCAGCGACAAGATGTTATCTCTCCGCTTCTCTCCGCGCCGCTCACCTCTCGTCCTTGCGGTTACTCTTCCTCAACGTCCCGTCCCGTCCCTCCATGCTCCTCGTCAATGCCCCGACCCAGAACCCCGCAAAGCCTTCGTAATACCCCACCTCCTCCCACAGCTCAAAGCATTTTTCCTGGCCCAGGGCCCGTCCCTCGAAGAGACCGTGCAGACGGCCGTGGTCGAAGCCGGAGGTGTACCCCTCATCGTAGAATCTGACGCGGTGAGCGACTCCTGATGCGGACAGCCCAGAGGATCAGAGGATCAGGCCCACGCCTCACTCACGTTGATTCGAGGTTCCCGGCGTGTTCGAATGGGTCGAGGTGGGACACGTGGGGCAAGTGGGACGCGTGGGACGCGTGGGACGCGTGTGGTGGCTCGTCGATGTCCATTGTGTGTCCGAGAGTGGTAAGGATATGAGGAGGGAACAAGGAGGTGCTGGATGCTGTCTGTCAATACGCTACTCACAATTTTGGATGGATCAGCCAGTGGCAGCTCTGGGTGGCC